ATAATTCAAATTGGGAAAGCCTAAATATTAAGTGTTTTGAATTTTTATGTACTGGAAATATACTATTAGTTAAGCAAATTTATACAGACCACTGTGGATTGCAAGTTCAAAGACAGCCTGTGCTACATTGAGACTCTCTCAAAGATAAATCGGGGATGGAGAGACAGGTCAGTTGGGAAGGTGTTTGACAGGCAAGTATGAAGATTTGAGCTCAGATCCCTGAACCCATGTTAAGTATCCCTGACTTGGTACCACATCTGTAAGCCCAGCTCTCCTATGGCAAGAGGAGAGGCTGAGAAAGGAGAATTCCCAGAAGCTGGTAGACCAGCTAGCCTGGCATATACAACAACAAACATCGGTTCAAAGATGATAGTTGAGGACTGATACTCAGGGCTGTTCTTTGACTTATGTGTGTATGGGGAAGACACACATTGGTTAAAAAAAAAAAAAGAATGAACAAATAATTTATACCTTGGTGGTGGTGGTGCATGCCTTTAATCCCAGCACTCAGGAGGCAGAGGCAGGCAGATCTCTAAATCGAGGCCAACCTGATCTACAAAGTGAATTCCAGGACATCTAGGGCTACACAGAGAAAGCCTGTTTCACAGAAGAAAAAAAGAAAAAGAAAAAAACTTACAAAATTATATTCTGGATACATATATATCCAATATATACTTATACAAACTCAAGCTTCATAGAGATGTTATTTCTGGAATGGTACAGAGGATAGATTAGAGAGGAGTAAACGATAAGTTTAACTATAATTTTGTAGAAATTTATCTAAAGCAAATACAGTAGAAGTATTAAAATATTTTGAATTTTTTTAAATTTATAATTTGTCCACAAATTCTGTTTATTCACTTCACTTGCTTTGGGATTCTATTATAAAATTAGAGGTAGATATTTATTTAGATGGATATAAAACCATGGATTCAGATCACATCCAGGTTTTCTATGTAGTAACAGGGCTTCACTATGCAGCCTTTGCTGGCCTGGAAACTGCTATGTAGACCAGGCTGGTCTTGAACTCACAGACCTTCTTCTGCCTTGAGTGCTGGGATTAAAGCACTTTAAATGTTCTTTCTTAAAAACACATTTATATGTTTGTGTGTAGGGGTGTGAGTACCATGTCACATGTGTGACTGTCAGAGGACAACTTGAAGGAGTTGGTGCTCTATTTCCACTGTATGGGTCCCAGGGGTTGAACTCAGGCTAAGCTTGGTGGCAAGTGCCCTTACTCACTGAGCCAGCTTTCCAGCCCTCAGTTAACATTCCTGTAGGGATCATCTCCAGCAAAAGAGTGTGTTTCTACAGCCATTATCTTTATCTTGGGGATTTATGGATTCTCAAGAAATGAGGTCTATTAATACCATGCTTTTAAAAGTCAGTGTACCACAACTATAAATATATTTGATTCAAGAGCATTGTCCTCGAAGCTGCTGGGGTGTGGCATCATAAAAGTTATATGTACTAGATTACTTTTCAAACCCCAAATCTGTAACTTAGACAACCATATTACTAAATTGTTAAGATACAGAAATAAAGTAAGCAGCTCAAGGTCATGTTATTAACAAAAGGAAAAATCAGGGATGGGGTTTAGCTCAGTGCCGCAATATGTGCCCAGTCCTGAGTTTCATCACCACCACTACACAAAGCACCAAAGGTCAACGTGTTAATAGTTTTGAGTGTTCATTATGTAGTCATTTGGGTAAATGTTTGTGCGTTCTTATTTAGTCTCCAAGTCTGTGTCCACTGCTTTCCTCACTTCTCAGATGTTGAGCTGAAGCTCAGTGAGATTGAAAGACTTCTTTGGGCACGGAACAGTCAAGTGTGATGAGAAAAGACTTGGCCAGCCTTATCTACATAGTGATACAGGACAGCCAGGGCTACACAGGCCTGTCTTGAAAAAAATCAAAACCAAGGGCTGGAGGGATGGCTCAGAGGTTAAGAGCTCTGTTTGCTCTTCCTGTGGTCCTGAATTCAATTCCCAGCAACCACATGGTGGCTCACAACCATCTATAATGAGATCTGGTGCCCTCTTCTGTCATGCGGGTATACATGTAGGCAGACAACGGTGTACATAATAAATAAAAATAACTTAAAAAAATATAAACCAAAACCAAAAAAGAAAGAAGTCAGTCAGTCCTATATGAAAATATTTGACCATTTGACAATTACATTATCCTCACATGTTGAAGGGGTTGGAAACATTACTCAGTAATTAAGAGTACACACTACTCTTCCAGAGGACCTGAGCTTGATTCTCAGGAGGTTCCCAACCATCTGTAACTTCAGCTCCAGGAGGATTAGATACTCTGGCCTCTGTGGGCATCTGCACACAAACATAATTGAAAAAAACCCAAGTTGATAACAATAGTCCTTTCCTCTCTTTGAAGCTTAATAATTTACACTACAGAGCTGTGTATCTTTGATATTAAAGATTCTTAAAAATGTAAATCAGGGGGCTGGGAATTTAGCTCAGTGGTAGAGCAATTGCCTAGCAAGCACAAGGCCCTGGGTTCAGTCCTCAGCCCTGGGGGCAAAAATAACCTGAGTAAATCAAGTTGTTACCTAGCTGTGATGCGTGGGAAAAAGGAATGTAAATCAGGGCAAGGCGGTGGTGGTGCACGCCTTTAATCCCTGCACCCAGGCAGAGGAAGGATCTCTGAGTTCGAGGCCAGCCTGGTCTACAGAGGTAGTTCCAGAACAGCCAGGGTTGTTGCTGTCACACAGAGAAACCCTGTATCGAAAAACCAGAAGAAAAAGAAAAAAAAGAAACCAAACTTCTTATACAGTCTGAGGGTTAAAGTTAGTGATAAAGCAGTGGCCAAGCTCTTGTGAGGTTTCTGAGTTCTAGCGCCAGCACCATCAAACAACAAACTGGAAACACATTACATTATACAAAGCCTGTAATTGTAAGAGATGATGAGAGCCGCCTGCACAGCGCTTCGGCCAGTACTTGCTTTATTTCTTCCCATTCATATCTACTGTGTAGTGCACCGAGTTCTTGTGAGTTTTTCTAGATACATGACCTCATTTTATTTTCACAGCCTTCTAGAGTGCTTCTCATCTCACAGATGACAAACAGACTCAGGGATTGAGACATAACTTCTAACAAGGTGATGAGAAGCCGATGGGCATGTTTTATAAGCGGAGGGCTGACACGACAGGTGCCTTTTGAAGATTAATCTGTCAGGGGCCCATAAACTGGGCTTGCCGAAACTAGAGAAATACTAGTTTGACTGCCGGCATAAAATGTACATTTTGTTGTTGTTGTTGTTTTAAAAAAGGAACTTAAACTGGCTCCGAAGAACCCTCCTACAGGGTTTCTGAGATTATTTTTCTTTGTGTAACAATATTTTGTATCAATTCCTATTTTTCACTTTTATACATAGCAATCAGATGACTGAGGTTTTTGAGGCAGGGGAATTGTGAGTTGCAGGGAAGCCTGAGCTACATAATGAGTCCTCGATTTAAAAAGGGGAAACTGCTTCAAGCAAGCAAATAAACCAAATCTATCTTTTATATAAACAGAAGCCTTTGCATATCTTAATAGCGCTCCAGAAGCAGAGGCAGGTGACTACAAAGTCAGTCTGGTTTAAACAGTGAGTTCCAGGCCAGCTACCTAGGGAGACCCTACCTCAAAACATCAAACAAAAGCCTGGGGCAGTGGCCCAGGCCTTTAACCCTAGCATTTGGGAGGCAGAGGCAGGCAGATCTCTAGAGTTCTAGGTCAGCCTGGTCTACAGAGCTAGTTACAGGATGGCCAGGACTACTGGTCTCGAAAAACCAACCAAACAACAAACAAAAGCAAAATGTTAAGGTCCTAATAAATTTTAAGTGTAAAGAAATTAAAGATGCTGCGAGTGGTGATGCATGCCCTTAATTCCAGCTTGGGAGGCAGAGACAAAGGAATCTGTGAGTTTAAGATCTTTCTAGAGTTCCAGGACAGTCAGGGCTACGTAGTGAAAGAAACCTCGTCTTAAAAAAAGAGGAGGGAGGAAGGAAGGAAAAAGAAAAAAAATCCAAGACTCCCATCCTCAAACTGAAACCCACTGAACCAGATTCCTGGATCTCTTGCCTTCAACACGTCAGGCGTCCTAAGGCCAGGCATTTTGTAAGATACGGAGGTTACAGCGATGAAGAGACTTCTCTCCCTACTCTGATAGTTCACATTTGGATGAGATGAAAACTGAAGCAAGGTGATTCTGAGAGCTCCGGGTTTAATGAAGAGGCAGGGCGGTGCTCGCTCTGTTACCCGCTCTCTCTGCAGTAAAGGCCCCTATATAAACAGTACATTTTAAGGTGGCAAGAGGCCATAGGAGGCAACAGAGGAGTGTTTAGTAGTAAAAGGAAAGAAGGGAGAGAGGGAGGAAAAGAGGGGAAGCAGGGAGGCAGGCCTGGTAAAATCCTGGGCAGTCCCTTCGGCAGTTATGCGGACCTTTGGCAAACAATGGTACACACTTGAGCCTCCTTCCTCGCGGAACCACTGCAGATTCTTGGCCTGGAAATCGCTATGTAGCCCAGACTGACCTCCAGTTTCACAATCTGCTGCCTCAGCCTCCCGGGTACTAGGGTTATAGGCGTGCACCACCCCACCCAGCCCTGTGCAGGTGCTCCTTGACTTCACCGCGCCCACAGCATCGCTATCCGGGCCCGAGTAGCAAATTCTTCCCGAGTTCGTTCCCGTTTGGAATCGGCCTAGAGGGGTAGGGTCAGGAGGGAAAGCATTCAGGAAGCGACATTTTTAGCTTCCAGAGCTCTAGCTGGGCAATCTTCTTCCTTCCCTGGGAAACACAGGCCTCTTTCTACGTCTCTCCCTAACCTCAGGACAAAGAGTCCCGTCCGAATCCACACTGCGAACCAGCTCCAGCAGCGGCCGGCCACGGAGCCCTTCCGAGGGCAGCCCACAGCGCGCCGCCCCACGTGTCGCTGACGTCACTTCCGGCGCCCTGACGCCGGGTCCGGCGTTCCGACGTTGGCGTCAGCAGAGAGCGGGGCTGGGGGCACCGGGTTTGAAGTGGTGCGGGTCAGAGCGGCGCCGCCTCCGCCCGTGTGTAGGACCCCGGTGGCTTTGGGAGACGAGCTCGGGTGGGCGGCCCATGCCCGAAGGCCCGTGCCAGTCGCTACACGCCGCGCCGCCTGCTGCCCTGCGCCCGACGGCCTGGGCCTGCGTCGCTCTGCCCGGGAAACGAGCGCCCGAGCGGCGCGGCGTGTAGCTTCCCCGGGAGTTCCGAACCGCCGGCCCCGGCCATGGCGGTCTCCAGGTGGGTGTCGCCGCCGGCCAGCTAACGGGGAGCGCGCGTGGGCAAGGCTGTCTGCTCCCGGTGCCTCAGCGCGGCCCGGGAGCGCTGCTTCTCCCTCGTCCGGACTTCCGAGTTCGCCCCACAGCCGCCGGCGCTTGGGGCTCGGGTTACTCGGAGAAATCTGCTCAAGAAGGGCTTTTTCCTCGTTAAATGTGACTCCTTGGTGCGTTCCAAATGGCTTTCTTTCTTTCTTTCTTTCTTTTTCTTCACCACGTTTTTCTTCTCTGGTTTCTCTTCCCTCTTTGAATTGTAGGCGAGTCTCTTTTCTTTCTTAGTATCTAAGTCTGATCCCTAACCACCATTTCACGGCAAAACTTGGTGGTAAACTGTCGAAGGAGGCGGAGGTTGAAATACTGTTATCTAAGAGACCATCTGGTTATACTAAATTTAAAAAATTTACAGCGTTAAGGGTATAGCCTTGCTCATTTTTTTTTCTTAAGGTATGAGTCCTTCTTTTGTTTGGCAGTAAGCATTCCGTCGTCAGCGTGTAGTCTTAAACAGATGACTGTTTTAGCATTTACCCCCCCCCCCAAGAGATATCACAGCTCTTAAATTATTGTAAAATTTTGCCTACTGTGGAAAAGTCTAAGAAAATGATAGAAAAACTTACAAGCATTTGACTTGTATAGCTTCTGATGATAGAACAGGTTGGAAAACTTGGAAATGATTTTGGTGTCCCGATGACATCTCGGTGTTTAGTCAGAAAGAGCTGCCAAGTTCTTTAGTTGGGGTGATGTGGTAATACTGAGAATTGAGTCCTTTCGCCATATGGACTCAAGGAGAGAAATGATGAAAAGAAACAGCTTTCCTTCATTTTTCGCAGTTAGTTGAACACATTCCTCTGAGTACAGTATGTATGTGCTGAAGTTTTCTAACAAAAGACTAACCCATCCCTCACGACTCCCTACGGAACTGATGAAATAGTGTGTGGGAGAAGCCCATGGGAGTTGAATGAAGGGGGTTGCTAGGTACCAGTAGTACGGGACATCTAATTTTTATTTCATAAGCAGACTCATCCACTCAGTGTTAAGTTTTTATTTCAGCATCTATAAAACTGCTTTGAGAGAATTCAAGTGGCATTTCCTTTTTTCCCTGCAAGTACGGGATAACTTTATTTTATAATTTATCTTCAATGTAAAAGCATTAATATGTGCGCAAGAAATATGTTGCTACATAATCTCTCTCTGTCTCTCTCGACAAGGGTCTCATGTAGCCTCAAACTCAGAAGGCTTCTCTGGTTCTGGGATTAGAGCTGTGGTGTCACCTTGCCTTATCAGGCCTTTCTAGTTTAAAAGAATTGGTACTTCTTTTCTTAAAGTAGATGTATATTTGTACAATGTTAAAAAGCTTTATAGAGACAAAATGACAGTGCTCAAAAGGACTCATCTTCTTTGATTAACACTAACCTATTCACCCAAGTTTAGGACACCCAGTTTTTGAAAGAAATTAAAGTCAAATTTTATAAAAACTGCTTCTGTGCTTAGCTTAGAAATACAAGTTCAAGCGAATATTTTGGAATACTTTATGTTTGTTTGTGGGAGATGGAGGGTACTGGACTTTTAAAAAATATTTGTGGATTCAATTTGAAAATCAAACTTTGTGGTTTCAGCTGTGATATGATCTCATGCACTCAGCATATGTCTGTGCTAAATAAGCTTCATTTTTTCTTGCTGGGATTTTGGAAATGGAGGCTCATTTCAGTACTTTTAGGTAAAATAGGCAAAGGAAAGTTTGAGAAATAGAAATCATATGCCAGAATCAAATTCAAAATGTTTTTGCTCAGTTTGTGTCAGTGTGCATAGCTGTAGAGAAACCTTATAATCTTAAGGTTTTACCTAAACATTTCTAACAGGCAATAAATTTGTACTACTGTTCCTTCCTCTGTCTGGAGATCTGGAATAATCTTTGACTTTTGATTCTTTTCTGTTCTCTCTGTCCTGCCAGTCATTAAATCCAATTCTGCCCTACCTTTCTAAACTCCCTGCAGCCAGCCCTTTCTTCTATAATTGTCACAGTCGTCTATGCTCTGTCATCTAGTCCAAGACATCTGCAATAGTAACCCCACCTCTTTTTTTTAGAATGGGTTTTCTTTTGGCTCATTTGGAAGGTAAAGTTAATCATGATGGGGAAGGCATGTAGGATCATGAGACAGCTGGACACACTGCATCCAGTTAGGAAGCAGAAAGGAATGCATCTCTCTCTGTTTTCTTTCTCTCTCTCTTTTCTTGAGATGCATTTTTTTTAAAGATTTATTTATTTATTATGTATACAATGGTCTGCCTGCATGTGTCCTTGCAGACAGAAGTTGACACCAGCTCTTATTATTATGGTTGTGAGCCACCATATGGTTGCTGGGAATTGAACTCAGGACCTCTAGAAGAGCAGTAAATGCTTTTAACCACTAAGCCATCTCTCCAGCCCCTGAAATGCATTTCTTTAAAAAACATTTTTGTGGGGCTGGAGAGATGGCTCAGAGGTTAAGAGCATTGCCTGCTCTTCCAAAGGTCCTGAGTTCAATTCCCAGCAACCACATGGTGGCTCACAACCATCTGTAATGGGGTCTCCTGGCCTGCAGGCATACACACAGACAGAATATTGTATACATAATAAATAAATAAATAAACATTAAAAAAATTTTTGTGTGAGTGTACATGTGGCGGGCAGAGGACACTTTTGGGAGTCAGTTTTCTCTTTTCTGCCTTGACTTCCAGGGATAGAACTCAGCTTGTGAGGCCCACTTGTCCAATGCCCTCACCTGCAGTAGCAGGTGAGGCAGCAGATTGAGCTGGTCAGCTCACAACAGCCTTTTTCCTTGTACTTGTTCCCCGGCATCTCTAATTTATTCATCACTTCGGATGTGTTATTTGCTAATATGCAAATGTTAATGCTATTATTTTTCTACTTAAAACTTGCTAGCTTTCTGTAGTTTTAGGATAATGCCCAAATCCCCCCAAATGTTGCATCAAGCTCTCTGCACTTCCCTCCCTCACGTTTATCTTCTTCCTCAGAATGTTTTTACCTCATTCTTTATTTCTGGAACACTTATCTTCCCATCTCAGGTCTTTCTCGTTATAATCTTAGCTGTGCCCTAATGCCTACATATCACTTTGTTCAGAAAGTCTTCTTCCTGAGTTTTACTTTACTTACGCTATTCGGGATTTATTTATTATTATTTTTTTCTTTTTGGAGACTGGGTCTCAATATAGTTAGTGCCCAAGATATCCTTACTTCAGTTTTCCATAACAGACCACAGGAATGTGCCACTTTCCCAGTGAGTGGTTCCTAGTTCCGCTAAGCTATAGGTTTTTGTTTGGTCATACTGGGGAGTGAACGCAATAGACTTGTGAATGCCAGGCAAACACTTTACCGCTGAAATACAACTCTAACTTTGGTTTTGTGTTATAGACTCTGGATATGTACCGAGGGCTGACCAGCAACTAGCTATCAGTCTGTCTCTACCTCTGGAAATCTAGGTTTATAGGTACTAACAAGTCAGACATCCAACTGCTTTTTTGTTGTTGCTGGGAAGAAAAGCATTTACTTTAGTTTTGCATATTTCATGTTTATAAGTGTATTATGAATGTTTCTAAAAGGATAACAGTTGTAGTTAAAAATATTTATTAGTTTTAATTATGTTTGTGCCTGTATGTGGGGTATGTGGATGTGAATGCAGGTGATCTTGGAGGCCAGAGACATCAAATTCCTTGGACCTGCAGTTACAATTTATTGTGAGTGTACTTTAAAAAAAAGTGCTTTAAAAGAAAGTGCTTAAAAAAAAAAGATTTATTTATTTTATGTCTGAGTGCTTTATCTATATATACAGCTGCTTGTCAGAAGAGGGCATCAGATCCCATTATAGATGGCTGTGAGTCACCTTGTGATTGCTGGAAATTGAACTCAGGACCTTTGGAAGAGCAGTCATGCTCTAAACTGCAGAGCCCAGTATCATGTTAAAAAATAAATCATCAGGCTGGGTGGTGGTGGTGCATGCCTTTATTCCCTGCACTTTGGAGGCAGAGGCAGGCCATCCTGGTCTACAGAATGAGTTTCAGGGCAGGACTACACAGGGAAACCTTGTCTCAAAAATAACAAACAAGAAGCAGGTGGATCTCCATGAGTTCGAGGCCAGCCTGGTCTACAAGAGCTAGTTCCAGGACAGGCACCAAAACTGTAGAGAAATCCTGTCTCGAAAGTCCAAAAAAGCAAAACAAAACAGAGCAAACAAAAAAACCTATCATAATAGTTTTAAATAAGTCCTGTTATAACATGGCTCTTTATGATGTAAAGTGTATATAAAGTGCATATAATCTGGTTTTTCAAGACAGGGTATATAATTGGTTTTTCGAGACAGGGTTTTTTTGTATGGTCAAAAATTTTGATTCTGCTTACATTGTTATAAGGATTGACTTTATTGTACTTAGAATGTGGCAAGTTGTGAGCTTTTGATCTGTGGATGAGGATATAAATAATTTTTTAAAAATATTTATTTTTTATTTACATAACGTTTTGTCTGCATGTTTGCCTGCATGTCAGAAGAGGGTGCCAGATCTCATTACAGATGGTTGTGAGCCACCATGTGTGCTGAGAATTGAACTCAGGACCACTGGAAGAGCAGTCATTGCTCTTAACCTCTGAGCTGTCTCTCCAGCCCCAAGGATATAAATCTTGCATAAATAACTGAGTCTTGAAGATTGCAAATGCAAGTAGAATTTGAAATTTTTTGTAAAATTCAGCAAAGTATCATTGGAAGAAAAATTCAGCAAAATATCATTGGAAGATAGTGTCTCCTTTAGGTGCTTGAAAGAGAATCTGTATGTCAAAATTTTAAATAATTTAACTGTTTAACTGCTGTTATAATATGGAGGCTAGAAAGTCAGCTAAACTAATTACTATGTGACTTGTGACTGTCCCATAAATTTACCCCCCCCCCCAAAACCAACTCAGTACCTGTTAAGAGCTTG